CGGCAGTGAGTGGTATATCCGCCTCCCGCATCTGTGTCTGGAAGAATGCATTGGTCTGGTCCAGTATTGAAAAAACCTTTCCGGTAGCCACCATACGCACTAGCTCATCAACATTTGGTAGTGGAGAGCGATCCTTCACTGTGAGACTGTTGAGCGTGCGGTAATCACATACCCATCGGGGTAGTGCGTCCGGGTCCTTTTTAGGTATTATCATACTGGGTGAGGCATACTGGCTTGACGACCGCCGAATCCTGCCTGCTTCAATGTGTTGATCCAGTAGTTTGCGCCACACTGTCATGTATTTCTGTGGGTAAGCGTATTGCCGTTCTTTGATCTGAGCGTCTGGATCGGTTGAGATAATCTTATGCCTGACTTTTGAGCCTTCTTCCTGCATCTTCTTTGGGAAAGACCCGTCTTTGAATGAGCCTTCCAGTTCCGCTTCATCTGAAATCGCCGGTATGTCCGGTGGGAAGAGGTCTGAGAATTCCCCCAGGACAGTGGCCTCTGATTGTTTACACAGATAGTTTGCGGTACTCTCGGGTGGTGAACAGGAAACAGTCTTTGTTGTCATTGCATCTACAGCTCTGTAATCTACTACACAACGGCCTGATTTAACACAAACTAAACTATGTTGAGAAATGGAGACAGAGAGATTGAAAAGGGACAGAAAGGGGATTCCTAATATCATGTCGTAATTTCCTGCGATGGGTCCCAAGCTTAGTTTGACATTGTCAAAACGAAGTTGTGACTGAGTATCCGTGAATGTTGCCCGCGTAAATTGCTTAAGGATTAATGGAGCCTGCGACGCATTGTTAAGTGCTAGGCTGCCTCGGGTAGGTACCAGCAGATCCAATACGGTTAATCCTGCATTCTGTACCGCTCGGTCATTGATCAGGTTGATCTCGGCCCCTGTGTCAACCAAACCAAGTAAGTAATGATCTCCGACCTTAAGGCGGATGACGAGTCGCCTAGGAACAACGGGAGGCACATACTCATCCTCTGCCATCAGTCGAAGTTCCTCATTGATTGCGGCGAAAGCCGAGACAGAGGCCGCATCCAGGTCGGGGTACACGTTGGGTTCACCAATCTCAGCCACTGAAGCTGATCTGTTGGGAGGTTGGCCTGCCGGTGGTTGGGTCGGCTTCCCCGCTAGAGTTGAGGTCTGACCCCTTGGTCTGGGTGGTTTGTAATCACTTGGTTTTGGGGGGACAACGAATGTTGGAGGGATTTCAACCGGTGACTTGTCGATCGGACCGGCGCATTTACCTGGGGTGCTGCCACACTGCTTCTTGCAGAAATGGCATTTGCCCTGGGAGTCTAGAAACGAATGAATTCGCCATATGAATTCTTCTTTAGGCAGTTGACCTGACTGCGAGCCGGTGGCCGATGAGTTTGCAGAGGGTTGAATCCTCGGTCTCGCCATTGCCGCAGAACGTTTCACGATACCGTCCCAGAACCTGCTAGCCCTGTTCTTGAACGTGCTGAACTTGAAGGGCTCTTGCAGGAGTATTTGGTGGTTGTGAATCTCCGCCTGCAGTTGATCGTTGGTCCTGAGTGCCATGGACTCGGCCAGAGCAAAGTCTGATATCGCCTCCGTCTTGAGGTCAAAATTTAACATGCTCTGAAGCGTGTGTGAGCATTTACTATACAAAAGAAATGACTCCGAGGTAGTCATTCGAAGATCTTTGAACTTGCCTCGCAGAGTTGTACGCCAGTTGGGCGGGAGCGCAAAGGCGATGAGCCCTGTCCTGAACTCCGACCAGGGCTTGCCCAAGAACGACTCGAACCCGCTGGCATAGAACGCCGTTGTGTTGGTCTCCCTGATGAGACCGCCAATGATTTGAATCTTATCATTTTTGTGAGTGACACCTTTCGTGGCGAAGAAGATTTGAACGCTCCAGATCCAGGTAATGAATCGCTCGACGTTTTGGAACAGTCCTGGAAAAATTGGACCATCTGACGACCAAAATCGTTGGAGGTCGATGCGACCGGTCTCTGCCTGAGTAGACAAGGTCTCCGGGTCTTTCTTGATTGCCATTTGGAGGACTGCTTCCTCTAGTTTTGCGATGCAATCCGCGTCGGCTTGACGGAGTTCGCGCTCCGACTTCAAACTTTACATGATCGTCGATCTATCCACGTTGGCCTGATCGATGCTTTGATTTTGTAGCCTCATCAATCCCTTCAGGTAGTCGTCGAGGCTCATCGGTGGCGAGCCTTTAGTTTCATTGGGGTTTGCCGGTGTTTTGGACATCGTCGGGGAAGGAGGAAGAGCTGGGAGATCGACGAGGTTGTTCTGTCCGTTTGAATTGTTTTGTTTGCTAGTCGCCGCGTCCAATCTCTTTTGACGTCGACCGTCCTTCAAAATCGCTTCCGGGTCAGTTAAAGGAAGGAGAGTTTCCGCTTGAGAGCGAGTTGTCATCAATCAATGAGGGGGTTTTAGGTTTGAGAAAGAAAAAGTGTAAGAGTCGCGTCTTGACTCTTCACTAACTTCCTTAATTATATCGTAGGGACAGGCAATTGCCTGGAGAGAACTTTCTAGAACCTGAGTATGTATGAATTTCTTGAACTAGTTCGGTAGGATGAAATGTAAGAGTTCTCTCAGTACAATATAATCAGATAAGAATGATGAAGAAAGAAAGAAAGAGAATGAGATGAGAAATAAGAATGAAAATAGCTCACCTAGTTCGGTAGGATGAAATATAAGAGTTCTCTACCAAACTAGGAAGGGGGAGGATGATTGTAGTTTAAGTAGTGGGATGATAGTTTGTGATAGTCCTTGTGAAACCTGTATGCGGTGAGGTTTCACAGAGGTTCTTCATGGTAGTGCAGATGTGCTGCGGACAGGCGATTGGAACTGCTTGGTTTGAGGTTTGATCTGAGGACCTGCAATGTTTCAAACCACTTCTAAAACACAGTGGTCTAGGATTGCCATTACACCAGCAAGGTGTGATTGAAGTAGAGAGTTGAAGCTATATGAATCATTGATTCTTTGTAGTACTAGATTTTCAGTACTTCATCAGTAGAAACATCCCATTCAGGATGCAATTTATGCAAAATTGATTCTTTCTTTGGAAGACATCAGGCCACAGGGCCTTTTCTTGAACCTGATTTGCCACATAATCCTTAAAGGCTTCATTTGACATAATTCTTTTTGATCTTTTTATTTTCACCTCCATTAATAGAGCTTACCATTTTGGTGACTCTGCAAGATCCAAAATGGGTGCCAGAAACAACAAGGCAGTGTAGATCTCCCCTGTTGAGACATGGTCAAAGTACTTGATTGCAACACATGTTGCTGTTGTTGTAGTTAGTCTGTATGAATGATTTATATCACCTAGTAATGAAAATTATAGACCTCCCAAACTTCTATTCCAACACACATAAACTCTAAAAAGCTTTTTGTGGGAAAATGGGGTATTATCACAGACTACAATGATCAAGAGGATAATGAGATTGTCTGGGCAACCAGATGAGCTTTAGTTCACATTAGGAGTGAAGAGTAGCATCATCCTCTTGATGCCTTCCCACACAATCTCTCTCTTTCATCAAATAGATGTCCACTATCTCCAACCTATTATTATTACCTTTCCAATTCCATTTCCTTTCTGAAGAGGTTCACATACTTATCTAATAGTACATACCCCCATTTCTAGGGAGTTTTGGTTAGTAATTTTATTTGCCTCAAATTTTTTTTCTTGGGGGTTTAACTCAATGACATTTTGGGTTTTGCTTGAGTTGCACACCTGTCTGTGTTGGTCTAATGTTGGCTTCAACAAATGTGAATTGGAGGTTGACACTGGTGTTAGATTGCATGAGAGTTTGTTTGGCTCTCTAAGCCTATTTATTTAGTTAGATGTATGTAGATTACCCTCCTATTGGAGGACTTCCCGTCGGATGTGGGACCCTCGCAGAAGTCGATCTAGACCCAAAAATTCTTGATTCTCGCAGAGAAATTTGAATTTTGAGGCTCTAAACCGGCTCTGGGAGACCCGCAGATGTTGACGGGAAGTCCTCCATTCTCTACGGCACCTTCAGAAACACACATAGTTTAACCAAGTATACATTTTTTAGGCCCATGCAACTGATTGTTGTTTCCTTTGGAACCCAGAGATTGTTGTTTTTGGAGGTTGATTTTCAGCAATCTACCATACCATAACTTGTAATTAATTGTACCAGATCACTGAAGTCTACCCAGGAATTGAAAAAAAAAACATCCCAGATAAACAGACCATGCATACCCAACATAATTCCTTGAAAAGCTTGCAGAAAACAATACAGCTAGTTTGGAAAAGGTTGTCCATGTCTGACAAAAAATTTCTCCCTCGAAAAATTTCTTCCTGGTCAAAATTTAAATCTTGTGCTCCCTATGCATAAGCTTTAACAAATCCACAAGAATTCACTTAGCTTGGAGCCAAGTTTTTGAGCCTTGCATCACATAATCCCACGCTGTGAGGTGGGTGTCCTCCTCAAGTCAGTTGATTACTATTGAGTTCATGTGATTTATGCACATGTGTAGAGCAAAAGAAAAGATTTTTGAGGAGGAATTTTTTTTCGGATTGACCTCTCTCAGAATAGCTGTACAGTACATTAAAACAGGCCTTCATGTGAGAGACAATTGTGAAGTGATTCAGATTACAGAGAAAATATATACATAGACATATATAGTCATAAGATAGATAAACATGTACATATGTGTGTGTGTGGTGTTGTGAGGGTCCATAGATATCTGATTCTTCCCTTTGAGGATCACATGATGTGAATGCCAAAAAGAGACAGGTTGAAAAGAAAGATAAAATACGCAAAAATTCTGCAGTCCAAAGTCTGGTATTTCTTTCCACATGTGAGCTATGCTTGCTTAAGGTATGGCAACAGATAGGGTATGTATACAAATCATCAAACATTGCATATATATAAATGAATACAAAAACAGAAAGTGATTGCGAGATGAAAATGCTAATAATAATGCTGAATAATGCTAATTACGAGGGAGGGAAAAAAACTCAGACTAAGGACAAACACGGAAAAGAGAGAGAGAATGAGGCAGTAGAAGTTAGTATTTGATTCCAGTCGTTCAACCAACAAAAGGAAAAGAAAGAAAAAAAAAATGACGAGGAAAGGGACATACAGAGCCAAGTGTCGCAGATGGCCGAGAACATCTGCTGGTCATCAGTCTGAAGACCGTCGCTCAGGTTGGCTGATCCATTGAATGGAACAGGTTGAGGAGGGACTCCGGCGGGTGGGAGATTTGTCAATGGACCCAGGCTGGACGATTCCTCAGCAAACCTTCTCCCATAGTTATTATCATTACCACTACTAGTGCCAGTATCATTGTTGATCTGGTATGGGCTGACAAACATCTTCTGATTTGGATCGATTTGCGTTTCGAATTCGAACGGAGGAGCTACGTCGAAGGTGATATCAGAAAACGAGGCGGACGTGGATGATGCAGGATGAGGAGGAAACGGCTGGGCCTTAGAAAAGGTTTGATTATTTAAGTGAGAGACTTTTTGGGTCGAGGGGCCTGCGGATGGATGAAAGTTTAACGATTGGGAGTGCGAGTGACTAGGATACGACTTCGGAGTCATAGCTGGTTTGTGATTAGTAAAGTTGGTCGAGCTGCTGTGATTGAAAACTGGATTTTGCGGAATGAAGTTCGGGTAAGCATTCGCTTCTGGCGGCCGTGAAGATGGTAAATTGTATGCTTGATTTGGAACGATCGGGTGAGTCGGATTCAGGAAGTTTGGATCCGGGTGATTTATTGATGCAAGTCGTTGGGGTGGATTGAAAATCTCATCTGCAGGGTTACTGAAATTCATCGGAATGAAATTCGAGTTAAATGGAAAGCTGCTGTCTGAGTTCTTGTTACTAGCATTGCCAACGGTAAAGAGATTTCGATCGAAGATTTGATTGTTGACAAAATTTCCAGCCGTCTTGATATAATTCGTACCACTACTCGTCGGCGTCAGCCCATCATTATTGCTTCCGGAATAAATTTGCTGGTCTTTGGTGACTTCCGGAGGAATGGAAGATGTGGACGACGGGAACGTCGATCGGAGGTGTGAAGGATCTGATCCTCCATGCAAGGATGAATTTGTTGATCCTTCCGGATTGAACTGTTGAGGGCGGTTGGTCGACAGTGGTATATTCGGAGCATTGTAGTTTAAAGGTTGTTGCGGTACATTTCCTGATTGAAGTAAAAGGTTTTGTAATTGAAGATGTGAATAAGAAGATGGATCGTAAGCATTCTGTTGATTATTTGGATTTGGATTTCCAGTTGCTGCCCTGGGGGGTTTGCATCATAGTTCCAGCTTGGAAATTGTGAAGTTCCGGTAGTGCTCATGAAATCGGAAAAATTGAAATCGGCATATGATGGCGGTGCTTGCACTGGGTCCACATAAGAGTCTGAGTTAGCTGGTGAGGCGTGTTGTGAGAACAGCAAATTGGAGATGGTTGGTTGTTCGACTTTTTTGGCCATAATTTCACTGATCGGACGTTTTTTAGAAATATTCGTCGAAGTGCCAGGATCCAGGCTAGGGTTGTGAATTTCCTCTTTCAAATGGTTCATGTATGCCGTAAATTTCAGTGAGAGTTTTTCGGAGACAAATGATCTGTAAAAACCATCCACCGTAAAACTCAGCATGGTTTTATTTTTCCAAGGAAAAAAAAAACTGTTGTTGAAGTCATCTTTGCTTACACTGGGGCTGGAATGTTTAGGATTTCGACACATTTGGTGATCCTGACCCAGGCATTAGCTTTGAAATCGGCGGTAACAAGCGGGTTATTGTCCTGACTGATAGCCCACAGTAAGAACAATCCGACTGGGGCAAGCTGAACAAATGGATGTTAAAGAGCTCCAGAACGTCAGTAAAACGAAAGATGGAAAGATAGTGAAATCATATGGAAGGGTAAGAAAGACTAACAAAATATGGAATGTCTCCTCGAAGAAGGTCCAAGTGACCAAGAACTTTCATGTCCTCCAAGGTATCCAAGATGGATGAAGCAGCTTGGAGGCAGCGGTGAACTAGTTCTGGATAGACTGAAACAGCTTCAAGATTAACTCGGATCAGGATGCTCCAAAGCAAGCTTCGTTGCATGATTTGTAAAAGTGAGTGTATAGTATCAAGCTGATTGAGCATTCTGGCTTGGGACGTTTTGTATTTCAGAGAACGTAAATGCTTACCAAGCACAATAGGAAGTGGCGAACAAGTCTCGCTTAGACGTCAGAGATGGATTCCATCGTCCCATGGGATTCATTTCATTCTCAATAAATTCCCATAGAGCCGTTCCAAAGTTGAGGATAAACAGATGACGGTTATTCTTAGTTTTGGAATTTGGATCGTCCTGAGTCGTAGTTGATGATGAAGTGGTTTGAGCTGATGGAGATGATTGGGCCTTCAATTGATTCAAGATCATGTTGCGACTTTTCGATTCCAATTTATTTCTGACCGACCACAGAGAATTGAACGCTGCTTCTCCGGGGGTCTGTGGTCTCGAGTATAGCTGCTCTCTAAATTGTTTGCGTGCTTCTGGCGTGGGTTGCATCCCATCTTGTTTATCTAGCAGACTCATGGTAGCATCCTCTACGAAAATTGGAGGAGCTGGCAGAAAATTAAGTCCGAATAGATGAATGAATGGAGGACCAGTTAGATCCTCTGGATGAGCGAGTCTCGATTGTTTGTTCTTTTGGACTTACAGACTAGGTTACAGAAAGATTGGGGTACGTTTACATATCCAAGAGAAGATGTTGTGTTTTTCTCGACTGTAATCAATGCAAAGAAGGCCCGCTTTCTCAATTGGTTGTTTAAAAACGAGGTATTCCAACGAGCCGATTCTTCGAGATGAGCTCCAGAGGTGACAGCTGGAAGAATTGTTGGTGGACGATGGTCGAGATGATAATGGTATGTTGGGTTAGTTAGAGACAGAAAACCCAAACATCCAAGGGAATGAGAATCTGGTGCGTGATAGACGAATTTACAAACCTGTTCTGAGAAATTCAACTACCAAGGCAAACGTGTGACGAGGATTGGACATTGCGAGCATGTAGTAAGATATGATGGCTAAGGATTGTAAGCCAACTAAATTAACAGTTTGGAATTTAGTGGCTCCAACAATACTAGCGTGAGCAAAGATGGCGCCAGCAGATTGACGAGGATGGAGGCCATCGGAATGGGAGGTATAAAGTACTCTTGGATCATCAAGGTATGGCGAAGCAGCTGCAAAGATAGCATAACAGAGTGATTGAAATTCAGTATTTCGCTTGGCCAATCCGGCTCGATAATCTTTTCTAAACTCGAGCTCGTGTACGATCGGAGGATAAGGGTGAACGAATTCGAAGTAGGTTGAGAGCAATTTGCTTGCCAGGTCATCATCCGGCCAATCTTTTTTCAAGATTTGGTTGAGGTAGTTCGAGCGGTATTGTTCGATAAACGATGCAGTTTGATCATCTGGGTCTGGGTTGGGATCAGGGTCTTCGAGCGAGTGAGTTTTCCGGTGATTTTGACTACTGAATGGATCCTTGTCTTGGACCAAGAATTGGTATGAGCCCAGCTGGCATTCACCCATCGATTTCAACATGGTTCGAAAGTCTTCATCTTGATCTTGGTCTTCCTCGTCCTCTTCTTCATCATCATCATCCTCATCTTCATCATCTTGACTATCGTGTTGGATTTCCTCATGGTTACGGTGATGATCATCGGTTCCTAGGACTAGATTTTGGTGAGCAAGAGAGATCTGAGGATTCAGTGGATGGCTAGAAGAGGTATCTTGTAGGGCATTGGCCATAGTTTTAGCCTGGTCGTTCGTTCTCGGCAATAAGCTCAGGTCGATCTGAGGTCTCAATCTGATTAAGACAGCTTCAAGTTGAGCAATTTTACGTTTTAGCTGCTCAACTTCCCTAAAAAAAAGCTCTGATGTCAATATCTCTGTTCTGGGATAGAATCAAGTGGTTCATGGCGAGAAGGGAGTACCGAACAGAAGGAGGTTTCTCTCGTTTGACACCAACATGTTCGAATTTGCAGTCCCTCGAGGTGAGTTTACATGCTTCACAAGGAGGTTCGTCTGAGTTCATCATACATTTGATCTGCGGACCAGAATATTATTTCAGCCGCTGAACTGAAGAATTTCTGTTTTTTTTTTTGTTGAATTTTCAAGCCAATCGATCACATACTTTCATCTTCCTACAACTATCGCATGCTCTTAAAGTTCTCTGCCGAACTCGTTTGGGTTGCTCGGTTGAGTCGACCGGTTTGAATTGAATGGTGGATTCTTTTTGCTGTTGCTGTTGTTGCAGTTGATATCGATCTGCTGTTGGGAGTGAGTTGGCCATCGTCGTTTGCTAGTTAGTCACTGCTGGTGACTGTTGTGGTTCTGGGCTGGTCTGTTCCCTGTTGACCGTCCGACCAGCAAGCTTTAGCAGTAGTGCCCCCGTGGTAAGATCGGAGATCCCCGGGGACCGACAACGTGATCTGCTTGGAGCAAGACAGCGCCGAACAACCATTCGGATTCCCCCAAAAGCGACAGTCCAGTCTCTCATCATGGCCACCGCCACCACTCCACCTCAGCTGTGTGTATCTCATCACATCATTTGGAAAGCTACCTACATATGTACTGACTCTATGCATGATTTGGCCATCCTTCTCACAGTGTCGTCCCTGAAACAAAACCATCAAGATCTCACAGCCTCAATGTACAGTCAAACCTGTCCAAGGGCATACCCCCTGGGAGAAGGATTTTTGTATGCCTTTAAGCAGGTCATGCCCTTAGAAAGAGTGAATTTGCAGCAAAATCAAGACTTGAGAGAAGCCCTTCACCATGCTCTTATGCAGGTGATGCACACAGAATGGTATGCCCTTAGACAGGTTTGACTGTAAGCGAAAATGACCCCAAGGGCCCAACAACATGTTCTTCTTTTTTTGAGAAAATGAAACCCTGCTGAGTTTTACATTCGATCGTCTTTGCAGATCATTTGTCTCGGATCATGACGGACTGGCGTAGGAGTTGCTGGAGGAAATGGAAGTGATTGGAGATGCAACATTATAAGTGAACGCAGAACGGTGAGGATGGGCTTAAAAGAAAAGGTGAGTGTTGCATGAAGAAGTGTAAGACTTGTTAACAGAGCGGGCTTGGTGAGGAGTCGAAAATGCTCGAAAAAATAGAAGGCCAGCTGTATTGAGACTTGGACCTTTCGTGGATGTGGGCCAATATCGTCTCATGATACAGCTGGCCTTCTTTATCGGGGTGCTGGTCCCCACCATCCTCTACCGTAGTTTATTTTTTTCGAGCATTTTCAACTCCTAGTCCTCACTAATTTCCTGTTTACAAGTCTTACACTTCCTCATGTAACACTCACCTTTTCTTTTAAGCCCATCCTCACCGTTTCCGCGTTCATCCTCCATGAGCGCAGACCTCTCCATCCTTTCCAGAAGCGGCAGCAAGACCGGTGCTGTTGTTTGGAGATTGAATGCCCACTCGAGTCAAAAGGAAAAGAAGAGGACAGTTGGCTGGTTGGAAAGGCAGGAGGAAGACACTGCAGCTGGCACTGGGGATGATTGCATTGAAGGGTAGTAGTGGCAGAATCGGATATGTACGCCTGAGATGCGTGGAGGTTACAGCCCTTTATAAAGTACTCATCCACTCTGCTTTGGCCTTTTTCGATCCCTCTTCACCTTTGTCGATGTCGGCCTGCAGGCTGAAGTGTATGGTACTACAACAGCAACCACTGGATGGTACGTCTATCAGTTGTGGAACTGATCCTGTACCTGCTGGTTCCTGAATCCTAGGACGCATTACATAGTCCCCCCCCCATCTGCAGAGCTTTGGTACCTCGTACAAGGGCAGTCACAACCGTTCGCTTCCAGTGTGATCTGAGCTCTGGAAAGACCCTCCTTGACGGTTCATGTGTCCAATGATTTCCGTTTTTTTTTGCGTCTGTTGCGATTTCAGTCGATAATTTGTTGATTGTGTGATATGAACATTAAAATTTACAGGAACAGAAAACCAGCATACATATCATCCAGGATGAAAAATTCAAGCTGTACCTAGGGTCTCAGCGTGACTTGACCGGTGATCGACGCTTGCGCCTCCAACAGCTTTAGCTCAGAGTGTTGCGCAAACAGATAGGGCAAACCTTGTGTTGTTGTCGCCGGTTGTTGCTGAGTGATTATGCTGTCGTTTTGTCGGCCGTCTGCCGTAGATATCATGTCGAATAACTCTGAGCCGACCTGTAACGACTGTGAGCCATCCCGAACAGGTCTTCCAGGTCGAGTAGGTCAAGTGGCTGGGCGTTTTTAGTTCTTCCTTGGATGGCTCGGCTTGCCCCGCGTTTTCATATGTCTCTATGTCCTTTGCTTCCTCATCTATCTGACTTTCCCCCGCTGAGACCGGCGTGAGTTGGTTCATGAGTGTTTCTGACATGGCTGGGTTCCTCGATGACTTCGCTCATAAATAGCTGAACGGCTCACCAGCTCGGTGGCCGAGCGGCGGCGAGACTCGGCTGTGGTTGACTGAACCTCTGTAGCACCCGTATGGGGATCAAATGCAGCAAACCTAGCCCAACTGTGTGGTGCAAAAACCTTCAACAAAACACTTCCAGATGACCACACAACTACTCAAAAATTGAGACAAAAAACATTCGACAAAAATTATTATGTTTTATTCAAATAAAACTCCTGGGAAATGGTATCTGATTCCCCTGTCCAAAGTGCAAGCTATGTATGTCTTTAATTGTGTGAGTGGCATGTTTCTGGAGTGGTGGAGTGGTGGTGTTAAACAGAGGAGTGTTGATCTTGCTTAATCCAAGGGTAGTCAAGGGTGTTTAATCCTGGATTAGTGGGGTATAAATTTGTTACCCACTACTACCTGCTTCAACACAGTTCCTGGGCAAAAAATAAGCTGCTATCCAATGATTGATCTAAGTCTATTGAGGTCTGATTGGAAACTTAAGAATAATTCAAGTTTTTTTCACCAAATTTGACTGTTTTACTATTTGAAGTTTCACTCTAGCTTAATATTATCATAAAAATATGGACATCAACCCTTTCAGCTAACCAATAAATGGCACAAGGATAAGGGATATATTTTTTCTCTTCCTAAACCATGCAAGTGTAGCCCATCTAGAAATGGTGAAACCAATAAAATACATCTGTATCTGTTTTCCTCCAAATAGATTGCATCTTTATTGTATTGAAAAACTGATACAATACAAATCTGTCAAAATAATTGCATCTCGTCACAAATACTGCCCAATACCAAAAAGTACAATAATCTTTGTGTATTTTCCAAAAAAAATGGAAAACAGTCTAAAATGGCCAATTAACAATATGTTGTGGTTTTTTTATGAAATACAAATGTTGTATCTGATGCCAGATACAATACACAATATCTTTCTTTGAAGTATCTGAAAGAAGATACAATACAAAATTATCTGCAGATACTGTATTGTATTGTATCTATTTCACTGTTGGTCCCATGTTTATGGCACTAAACTAAATGGCCCACTACTGTTAGTGTAGCAGCCCTTGAAACAGCACACTAAACCTGAAGTGTCAGTGCACTGTTAGTGTCACTAAGCTGTGTTGCACTGTGCTACAGCGCATTTAGAGGCAAAAAAGGCCAAAAAGCCACTAAAATATACCGTAGCACCTTTTTGCGGCCTGTGCACATAGAATTAGTGCAGATGAGGCAGAATTCTACTACACTATGCTAGATTTTACTGTAATTCTGATATGTTACACTGCACTAAAACTACTGTTAGCATATCTGACCCATTGTTGATGTGATGGTTCATGAACAGGTTTTGGGTTGTTTTGAATTACTTTTTTGCTGCAAATTTAATTGCAAAAACCTTGATTTATCATATTGCAGCGATGATGCAGACTTGATGGTCAACACCAACTGCACAAATTTGACAAACTAGCTGCAAGTCACAATCAATATCCAGTCCAAGAGGGGTGATGTTCCTAGCAATGGGCCGCTATGCTACAGGGCCACTTAGTGTTAGCATAGCTGTGCTAAATGTGGCCTATTTTTGTGTAGTATTAGCATGCCTCCAGTGCTGCTACACTGTAGTGCCGCTAACAGGAGGCTTCTTTCTGTGTAGCTTTAGCACACCTCTACAGCCGCTATGCTGGGTTATAGCACTTTCAGTGGCAAAAAAGGCAAAATATTTGCTAAAAAGTGCTGTAGTACAGCGTAGCGGGTGCTTTTTTGCACCCCATGTGTAGTGTTAGCACAGATGTGTGGAATCACACTAACAAGCTTTGGCTCCCTGTGCACTTACTTTAGTGTTAGTGCAGATTTGTGGAATTGTGCTAACACCATGCTAAATGTTAGCTTATTGTAGCTTCACTACCACTACACTAAATGTTGGCTTATTTTAGCTAAACTACCATATGGCTAGCATAGCTGGCCCACTGTTGATAGAATGCCACAGCCATACTTTTATTGACTAATGAAGGGCTGATTCAGTGCCTCCTGAATCCTACATTATCAGGGTGGGTGTAAGGCAAGTACCTGGTCCAGGTACCCACTTGTTTTTTCACCTTGACACCTGCACCTGCACCAAATACGTCCTGATTTGGAAAACAGGTACTCAAAAACAGGTTTTGGGTACCTGATGACATCTCTAATCCAAAGGAATTTCATATTGTTTCCAACACCCTTTGTATACCCTTCACTTCCACATCCCTCCCATGGTCCATCAGCCATTGCACCAGCAGATATGGCTAGCTACTTAGTGTCCGGTTTCGATCCCTCAAATCAATTGGATTGTAGTACTAACCTGTGTAACACTAGAAGATACATTTATCTAACTAGAATCCAGTTTGGGTCCCCTCACAGACCTTTCTGGTAGGCAAATACCCTCTCATTTTACAAATTTTTGACAAAATCACAAATTGAAGCCCATTTCACTGCATGAAAAAACTTGCTCAAATTCCCACAGTTGAAATGCAAGAAAAATGAGGCAGCTTTTGGTTATCTGAGTTGGGTTTTTGTTGTAGTGTTTGTTTGAACTCTGAACACCAATTAAAAGGTTCCATTTTTTCTGCCAAGGGGCTGTACAGTCAGTAAACAGAGAAAACTGTCTGTGTATTTTGGATTGCAGAGCTTCAAAATACAAACTTGAAGTCATGAGATGTGCTCAAGTGATGTAGAATAGGTCCCAAAAAATGAACATGAAAAAATAAAACAAAAAAAAAAGTTTCAAAATTTGTGAAAGATAAAACATAAAATTGATTTTTTTTCAAAAGCTTTAATATTTGGAATCAATCTCACTATATAGTCACCAAACAACACTTCCCATCACATCCATGTTCCAATATCTTCACAAGGATAGGGAGCCTTTTGATGTGATCTTTGCTCATTCCATAATTGATTATAAACCTGATCAAAATATAAAACTATCTATGGATAAGTTTCTTCTTTGTTTCTAATATTTTGGTTTCTTTCTGTTCAATTGAAACAAGTTGTCCTAATATATGTACTGATAAACCACAGTCAGATATTTATGATATATGATGTCATTGCAGTTAGATTTGCTTGTGACAAAGGTTTAGCAGTTTGTTTTGATTTTTTTAGCTTATATTTTTTCATTGCACTTCATTTTTCCCCTTTTTATTTTTTTTTTTTTAGATATATATATTTGCTGTTCAACCATCATCATTTTATTTGAAATAGAAGCAATATTTCTTATATAAATTCTATTTGTATAAAGTCCCCTTTCATGAGCACATCTTTATTTCAAGATAAACTGCACTTCAGATATACACAATATTTCCTCTTGGAAACATTCACAGTCATGCGGGAAGAGAGATTTGTTGGTGGGCCCTCACATTTCACTTGCCCTTGTTTTGCACAATGTTTATGGTAAATGATGAGTCATCAGGAAAAACAACGGAAGGGTTGGCCAGCATCCCACAGGAGTGTTTTATAACAGCTGAAATAGAAGAACATTCTGGCCAGCCTCTACCTCACAGACCTCTGTTTGGAATGCAGACCAATTTAGCAGTGGATGATTCTCATCAATTCAGCTTTGTAAAAAAATTTCCATCCAAAAGACTCAAATGTGCAAATACCCTCAAGCACACAATTACTAAATTGGTTGTTTGATCAAGTCTTTAGACCAGAGCAGAGCTGGCCTGTATTTGGATTAGTTGAGGAGGATAAGGACTTGAATCCAGGAAAAGAGCTTGGGATGATCCAAAGCTAACACAATGATGTCCCTCAAATTCAGAGGGGGCCTCCAAAGGAGGGACATATGCCTAAAGTCCCAAGCCTTGCCTGAGAGAATTAACAGACTTGGAAATGCAATACAGACTCAGATGCTTGTTCTGCCCCACCAGGCAGTCTGTAAAACAACCTATGTATTAGTCTTGTGGAGTATTGTTGACAAGCTTTCACACAATGTTTGTTGTGCAACATTCACATTGGGGAGTGATGTGTCACACCTTTGGGTGTACAATCCTTGGTCCCTATCCAATCCCTGGATCCAGGGTCTGGGAATTGACCAAGGATGAACTCCGTAAAATACAGACATGCATGGGGATCATAGTGGGGGACAATTTTTGGTCTTGTGTCTCTAAATGGGGGATAGGGACCCAATTTAGGGACCACAATCATGTAATGGAGATGCTCTTTGATATGATTTTTCCCATGGTTCTCAGAACAGGAACAGATAAAATTTAAAATACAAATCACCTTTCTGATTCTGCAACAAAATGAAGTAGAAGAATTGAAAAACAAGTTGTGGCTGAACAAAAGATAAGGAAAAAAACCAATCATACAACATATGTAATAGCTGAAGCAGGTAATGGCAACAAAAATTTTACATGAAAGAAGTAGAAGATTTTGGGTGTTTCAAGTCATGAACAATAGTGGGATCTAAAAAAGACCAAGCTTAGCAAGGTTACCAATTCATCCTGTTCAAAAATTTTTAGAATTAGTATTCTTTTTCATTTCACTGCAAATTAGTGAGGAAACACCAATGGAGAACCATCAACACATGAAAGAGTGACAGTTTCAACCCCCTTGGAATTATTAAGCCAGCTGTCATGTTGTTTTTGATCTAGTTAAATCAAATAAGAGTTAGATACCATGTATGTATTATGTGGGATTGTGTTTTTGGGATGAAGAGTGAGAAATAATGCACACTTTTGATCTTTCCTACAAGCTCATCACCTTGACCCAAAACCACCCTATGAATCTCTCCTTCTTCTTCCTTAAAATTTAACTTAAGCCTAAAGTATTGTCGGGAACCAGAGTTGTCCATGAAGTTAAAGCGCCAGACATTGGCAGAGAGGATTTTTGGCTCAAACTGGAATTCTCGCTGTGGTAAATTGTCTTTCTGAGGAGGACCTTTTCTTTGGGTAAAGGTTGTCTTGTGGTTTTCACAGAAATCATGGTCCTGAAGAGTGTGATAGAGAGGAATGAATTAAAATCAGTTAATCACATTCTACTACTGAAAATCACTCATTGTTTTAGTGTTTACAAAACTGACCGCCACAAGATTAAACAACTTTTTTGTAGACCCATCCTTGAGTGTGATTCTGGTCTCCCCAGTCGATGGGGCATCCAGCTCCAAGCCATACTGGTAGGCAACCTTTCCGTCCGCACTGAAGATCTCGGAGTGATCATCTTTAGACTTCATTATATAATTGTTGGGAAGAGCAATTTTTGGTCGTGCATAGATGACGAAAGGAAAGAACAACAGTAGTGCAATGAAAGTGAATGCGCTTGGGATTTTCATTGTCGGGTATTGTGGATTGAAGATAGAGATAGAGGCCCTGATGGCTGCAGAAACACGTCCGTTAGAATATGTTTATTTTATGTTGTCTGGATTCAACCTATTGAAGCAGGCTGGACAAAAGGAGTGTGATGAGGATGGCCGAAATACGCTGAGAAGCAAAGCCAGAATGTATGAAAGTGCTGATAAGCGATGAAGTAGTGGGAAGAAACGACGGTATAACATCAATAAGCTAGCAGGCTTAAGAACAAAGATGATGGTGGAGAATCTCGAGGGTTTTATAGCGTTCGCAGAATAAGCAGGACGACTATCAGGGACCAAATGTGGAAAGCCCAAACACTGACACTAAGTCATTGCCTGCTTGTATGTAAGAACTCCTTGTCATGGTCCTTTTCCTAGCAGGTGACCGCAGAGCGTTTGTAGCTTCAAGCTCGCCTTTGTCCATGACTTCTGGAGGGGCAGGTTTGTGACAGTCTTGCTGAATCTGATACCCAGACCACGTTGAACATGAATTAAGAGTAATGGGACTGCAGGCAACGACGAGAGAGAAGCTATGTTCGCAACCGACTCCGGGTCTTCTCTTCTCTTCACTAGTGGAGACCGGAGTACGAGCGTTTGCCTGAGCTTACCGTCCTAACATTATTCTTGGCCCAGGAAAGGAAACCAAACAACGCTGGAAATTCGAATTGGATGGCTTCGGGCTCAAAAATTGGTGGAAAGTCAATCTTCAAACGCGCCGATAGATTTCCTCCTCAAAATGCAGAAAGGGCCGAGCAGATTGAGATGGAAATTTACAGACGTTTCGAGTTAGCCAAAGAGTTGCCGAATTCTGAATGTTTCGAGTTAGCCAAAGAGTAAGAAAAACTTCAAACGAATTGTATTCCTTTTTGAGTTGGGGGTTGCTCCTCTTGGTTTAGCGATACTGATAAGTACAGTCCAGAGGATCTTGCTTGAACAAATATCAAGGCATAATTCAAAAGGATATTCTCTTGAGGCTTCCATTTTAATCATTTGCTTGTGGTGCCAAGATTACCAACCAAAAATTTCAGAAAATGTAAAAAATAACCCAAGTTGTACTAATCACAAGTAGATACAACCATGAAAAGCTTCAGATAGCTCTCAAAAGAGAATCTAAATGAATGGTTGCAGGTTATTTCCAGGTTATATCAGGGCTAGCTGATTTGGTGTTGGCCAACCTAAAAGTCTAGACAAAGGCCAGGCCAGCTAAGCTGGTCCGCAGGATAATCAAGCACTTCTTCCAGCTCCTTCAGCACATCCTAGTCAAACAGCATTGTGAACCAACTAAAACAGGAACATGGACATCAAGCAGAAACTGATAGCTCAACTGGAAAAACAGACATCAATGGCTTTCCCGCCCTGCATAATCTTCTCATCACACCCATTCCAGCCACCAGGTGATCCTTAAGAGGCTGATTTTCCAGACGGGATTCTTCAAACCTTTTTTACTATTGAAGTCCTCACCCTTCATTCATCTTCAAATTTAGAGCAGAATTTGTGACCATGGAGAAGGGGTGTCATCAAAAGCTTAATTGAAATTTACAAAGCTGAAGACAGATGCTTTCTTTGTGTCTAGAATTCTATATAATTTTAAACATGTAGCTATCTTATAAAATCTTTTGTTACTGCTTTCCTTGATCAATTGCAACCAGAAGAAAACCAATGGCAGCTGTACTACTACTGGTTCCATCAATGCTCACTTCACCCTCTGCCCAAGATCAATCTGCACTCATGGCTGCCTTTAATAACAACACCCATCAAACAGTGTTTTTAAACTCCCCAGAAAGTGTGATTTGAACATGCTCAAGATTGTTAGCCCATTTATTTTATCTGCACCCAGAATCAGATGAATAAATTGACCATCCCTGTTTTTCTATTTATTCACTGTTCAAAAGAAGAACAAAAAATTACAACCAGTTGTTTTACATGTATAACTTTATCTCTGCTCGAGTCACAGGCAGTAAAATTAATCAGATTCTTTAGACAGAATGAAACTTTACTGGAATCAATATGCAGTTGACAATCTATGCTAACTTCAGTTTCAATGTAATGTTTCTAACACTCCATATTTTGTATTAAAGGCTACATAGCAGTATGACAGTGACACTAATAGCTGTGTCCAGTCCACCATGCAATGATGAAGCAATTTTTAGCAGCTTTTTAGTGCTGCAGCACCCTTTAACCCAGAATAACACAGCATCATGTAGAGAAATTCTGACACTAGAGAATTTTTGAAATCACAGAAACACTTGTGTTTTTTTTAAAAAGCTTATAGTGTAGCATAGAAGCCCACTGCTACTGGACTAGAATTGGTGTAATTTTTAGGACCCATTCCAGCTGAATAGAAAGAGCCATGTTGAGATATAGAATATTGTACTACTACTAGTAGTAATAAGGAGTATGATGTGGAGACTGGTTCTATTTGCTGACAGCAGGACAAAAATTTGGGGGTCTCATTTTCTTTGTAAGAAATATGGAAACACAAAACTTGATGAAGGAAAAGAAAGACAGAAATTAAAGAACTTTTCTGTTTGGGATTTCTGAGCTTAGAAATATCTAAATCTTACCTGAATGGTGGTTCTAGAAGGTGATCTTCCAGTTTTTCATTTCCTGTTGGATTTAAAGAACTCTAGATCTCTGTTTTCCAAAGAGAATGTTAGGACACAAATGACATGGACTAATGACAAAAGCTGAGGCGCAGCAAACCTGAAAGAAAGAGAGCAAAGGATGAAAAATGAAAGAGAGAATGAAAGAAGAAATTAACAGACCTGTGTCAAACAGGGAGGAGCAAAAGTGGGTGAGACACAAGGCAAAGAAAACACTGAGAGAATCGGATGAAGAAAACGTGAAACAGCATGGATGTGAATGAGGAGACTCTAAATACTACAGCCGATTATAGATTAGGTTTTGAACTTTGTTTATCTCACTATGCTCACGTGAACAGATGCGCTGCAACGGGATGAAACTGAATCCCTCGGACTGCTAGTTCAATATAGGATGCATGCAGAATCTGGGGAAGTGAGACCTATGTGGCACACCTTCAGCTATTTAAACTCAAGAGGTCATTTAGGGAATATATATATATGGACAATTTAAATTAGTTTCCCAATTTGCAGCTATGGGGTCTTCTTTAATGCTATGATGTTCCACTGCCATGGCAGTATTGAGTACAGCTATAGTCCAGGACCCGGGGAATCAACCCCTTATAAATCACAGAGTGAACAAATATTCTAGATTTCTTGGCACATTTGTATGGATTGGGGGACATTCATGACAAATTCTTTTGTGGGGCCCATTCATTATAGATGGTTGCAGGTGGCTATTCTTGCCTCAAAGGCTTCCAAAAAATCAGGTGAAAAAAATAGAAATTACCTTGGAGTTTTTTTGCCCAATTTTAGCCCAGATTCATACCTCAACAGCTAGTTTGCTTTCTACCAATTGTGAATAAGTTGAATACATTCAGGTTACCTATTGATTTCTTTATGGGTGCCCACAAGGCTTTTTCCTATTTCTCACATCAGTCATACTATCATTTCAAGGCATGTGATGACAGATATCAGCCGGGTTAATCAAATTTTCATGCAACTCAAAATCTGGAGCATCCTATGTGGTCAGTGATCAGGTGGTCCAACTCTGTAGAGGCAAGGATGTATGTATTAATGTGCTGAAGCTCTTGGGAACTCTGTGAAGTGATGATTCATTATTGTGCGCCGCTGCGCCCCATCAGACAGTAGCCGCGCTGTGCCGACTGCGGCGCCCTGACCACTGTGACGATCTTGTGTGTCTTGGGCAGGCTCAGAGGAAGAGCAGCGACTATCAACTACTCGCCCTACATCGACACTTCAGTCTCTCATCATGGCCACCCTAGCACCACCACAGCTGTGCGTACAATCTCATCACAGCATTTGGAAAGCTATCTACTGATCTTATCATATGGTCATCCTCCTCACAGTTCCGCCCCGGCGACGAAAACATCTTGGGCTGATGAATTAGGTTCGTCGTCAAGATCTTCGAGTCGTCGTCAACTCATCATCAAACCAACCGAAACTGACATAGATCAAATCAACCACATTGGATGTTGTCGTAATAGATGAGGATGAATTGCCACCATCGACAGAAAAGATCGATCCAGTGACGGGGATCAAGACGATCGTAGAATACAAATGGGATGAGACTGAAGAGAAGAAGATCAAGACGGTGCGCAAGATCAAACGAACACTAGTGACCACACGGGTTTCACCGACCGTTGCGGCACGCAAAGGATGGGCGAAATTCGGCCTGGAGAAGGGCAAGAAATCGGGCCCGGACCTGGCGACGACCACCTTAGGAGAAGCGATCAAGTTGAAGATCGCAGTGCCTGGACTGATCAAAGAGCCGGTCGTCGAACAAACCACCAAAGCAACGATCGTGCCCGGCGGCAAACGGATCACTTGTCGACTCTGTCAAGGAGACCATTTCACCGCAAGTTGTCCGTACAAGGATACTCTCGGTGGCGTTTTGGGAGGCGATGCTGGTTCGTCTTTTCCTCCCCCTTTCTCCCCCCCCCCCAAAAAAAAATGGAGCCGATCCTGATTACGTCTTCAGCCGACCAAGACCAACAAGACGGCCCTGGAGCATCGCAAGCTCAAACGAACAACGCCGCTGGTGGCGGGACGGGCAAGTATGTGCCACCCTCCCAACGAGACGGAGCCAAACGAGGAGAATCGATGCAGAAATCAAACAGAGACGACTTGCCTACGCTCCGTGTTACCAACCTGTCCGAGGACGTCCAGGAAAGCGATCTGTGGGATCTCTTTGGGAGATTCGGCAGGATTTCTAGGATCTATGTCGGTAAAGATCAAGAGACCGGCTTGTGTAAAGGCTTTGCTTTCGTCAGCTTTGAGGATCGAATGGAGGCTGAACGGGCTATGAAAAAGATCAACGGTCTACCCTACGATCATCTGATTTTGGGATGGTATGCATTGTTTCATCTATCTTTTTATTTTTCATCAACTTCGTTCCGGCTGATAATAATCGACCTCTGAACATTTTGTTGTAGCATGTGGAGCTTACCTCGTGGCGAAAGAGAAGCAAAATAAACATGTACTAAAACATCTCGGGAACTCCTCCCCCCAATCAGTCCTTTCTAAATGCCAAGATTTTATCGCTCTGTTTTCCGTCACATATTTCCTAACCTACAGTACGTGGGCCCGATCAAAAGTTACGATGTTCTTTCTCTCGATCGCAATGTAGAATTGCCACAAGCAAGGCTCTTTTCCATTGGTTTCTTATTTTGACCCTCCCCCCTGGTCGGCTTCATCAGTTTTTGGACCCAAGCCGATCTGAGTTAGAGACAACAATATTGGATCCTCCATTTTCAATCAATTAGACAAAACCACATACTCCCCTTCTCACGCTTTCTTAATGCCGCCCTTCATACCCCCTATGAGAGGTGGTGTGACTGGTTGACAAGCTGTCGAAAGTTCTGTTCAAATCAGACATGCGATCACGAAGGCAGTTCATGGACTCAGTTTATCTGTAGGCTCTCTGGCCTGTCCTCCTTGCCACTAAGAAATCCCCACAAGGCCCTGCTCTTGAAAGGGCTGTTGTGACCAAGCCCCCCTCCTCTCATCATGGACAACAGTTGGATCCAAGCTTCGGGTTACCCCGCTGTAAAGCAGCTTTGATGCTATTTTTGTAGTTTTTCTTTGCTCATGAGAGGGCTGATACCCTATCATGGGTTTTAATATTTTTTACGTGTGTGTGTGTGGGCCCTGGGGTGGGTGACTGTCAGTGAAGGTTCAACAAGAAAGACCCTCTGGCAATCGGGGGATCCAGTGCGCACCCCCAGAAACCAGTTCTCCCCCGGGGGGGCTTAGCTGCATGGGTGTCACGTGAGATGTGATATGTACCTGAGCGTTGATGTTATTGGATATTCATTATCCGGTTGTTTCCCGGATTTGGGATCTCCATCAAAGTTTAAAAAAGTGCCAGTGCTGTGTACTGTCGAGAATCTCCCAACAAAACCAACAAAACAATCAAAAGTCTCCAGCTGGGAAGAGAAAGCGAGAGAAGGAACACCATCAACAAACTCAGGAGGGATGATCAGGAGCAGTGGAAGGAAGACTAAAAGAAAACAGCCAGACTCAGAACCAGACTCAGACTCAGAATCAGAATCAGAACGCTCCTCAACCACACCAGAAACAGCTTCATCATATTCGGCTACCACTAGCGAAAGTGGCAGTGGCAGCTGCACTGACTCAGATCAAGAACCTAGCTCTCATCTCCCTCAACTAGTTATCATCAATGGCAAACTCATCGACTCGCGAAACAAACAAGCAGATCAACTCCCTCACCAAGGAGCCCAGAAACAGCGGAAATATTTTTGTCATTGGGAGGGCTGTCAGAAGAGCTACACTAAACCAGTCCGATTGGAAGAACATGTGAGAAGTCACACCAATGAGGTATTTCCCTTTTTTTTGTTTGTCAAGCTCCTTGAAGACCAACGATGATATCTGAGGGTTTTTTTTGTCTCCTGGGGTTTTAGCGGCCTTTTGGTTGTCCAACATGTCCGGCGGCGTATCGAAGAGAAACCCATCTGACAGCGCACATGAGGATGCATCTGCCGGAATCCTCTCGGCCGTTACTCTGTGGATGGCAAGCCGCAACCCTTGCCTCATCATCATCATCATCCACCACCACCACATCTACGGCCAGCCCAGAAGCCTGTCCCCGGCGGTTCTGGACCCAACAACAACTGAGGATCCATCGCGAAAACGTCCACGAGGGGAAGAAAGGACAGCCCAAGCTTCGATGCGATCATTGCCCGCAGGAGTTCCTCAAGCATCGCGCCTTGCGGGCCCATCTCCTCGACGCCCATTGTCCCCAAGGCACGAAACCATACATGTGTCCCCACCCCAACTGCGGCTTCTCGTTTGCCAACCCCTCTCGATTGCGCAAACACGAACGCACCCACGAGCCCAACAGATACACTTGCGTCCATCACGACTGTCTCAATAACCCAAGCCTCTCGCTCCAGCAACGCTCCTTCTCTAGTTGGACTGACCTCCAGCGTCACACTCGTGATTCGCATCCGTTCAGATGTCCCGAGCAGGACTGCAGTAGGAACAAGAAACCATTCAAGTCTCTTCGATCGCTCAAACAGCATCTGCAAGTCTATCATCCTCCTGCCCAACCGCACCGAGAGGGAGAAGAAGAAGAAGACGAACCAATGACAGCTCCTGGGATCCTGGCATCCTCGGCTCGGAACACGGGCGCGTTCATCTGCACCCAATATCCGCCATGCACACGGGCCTACAAATCCGCCCGTGCCCTGCAACGCCACG